TGCAGGAAGCTTACTACTGGGTGCAAATCAAGGAGGGCAATGAATAGAAAATGGCATTTAATTGCCCCCTGGAATGTTTCCAGTTCTGGGTGCTCCTTTTTGGCTTACAGGAGGCCCCTATGCAATGGATCAATGAGGTGCTGCATGACTTTTGGTACAAAGGAGTGTTGGTGTATTTGAATTATATTTTAATATATACTGAAACAAAGGAAGAACATGTGAAATTGGTGAGGGCAGTCCTAAAAAGGCTGTATGCAAAACTTTCGCAAAGTGAATTTCACCAAGATAAAATTGATTACCTGGGTTATCATATCTCAAATGAAGGAGTGGAAATGGACCCAGAAAAGGTAAAGGTAGTGTTAGTGTTACAGTGGGCCCCTTCCCACACTAGGAGGCAATTGCAAAGCTTCCTGGGTTTCGCCAATTTCTACCAAAAGTTCATCCCCTCCTTTGCAAAGATTGCCTTGCCAATCACCAATCTTTTTAAAAACTAAGGGGAAGGGGAAGCCGAAAGCGGGTGAGCCGCTTAAGTGGACCATGGAGTGCCAAGCAGCATTTGAAAAGCTGAAATGACTGTTAGCAGCAGAACCTGTGAAGCACACTGACCCAGACACCCCATTTGTAATTCAGGCTGACGCAAGTGATGTAGCTGTGGGGGCAGTGTTATTGCAGAGGAATGCCCAGGGGTTGCTACAGCCATGCGCATACACTTCTAAGAAACTCACTGAGACTGAACAGAAGTGGGCGATATGGGAGAAGGAGGCGTATGCAGTGCAGTGGGCCCTACTCACTTGGCGGCATTTACTGGAAGGGGCAAGGATGTTGTTTGAGGTATGGACTGACCATAAAAATCTGGAAGCCCTGAAAACTCCGCACAGGCTATCTCCTAAACAAATCCGTTGGACTCAACACTTTAATCATTCCAACTTCATCCTGTGTTATGTCCCGTGGGGAAGAATTTTATGACGGGTGCCTTGTCTAGCTTGCCCCAATACAATGGTGTTAAAGTTGATGTGGTCAGACCTCTAATCTCCTTGAAGCAACTACCAGCCCCCAGTAACCACTAGAGCTCAAGAGAAGGAGGAATCTGAGATTCCAAATGAACTGTGTGACAAGCTCAAAGAAGCACTAAAAGTTGATGAATGGCTTACTACTCACAAAAATGACTGCACCATGCATGATGGACTGGCTTGGGTTGGGGCCAAATTATACATGCCCTCAAGCTTGAGAGACACTATATTAAAGGGCGCCCATGACTCTAAGTCAGCAGGACATTTTGGATTTGTAAAAACCCTGCACTTGGTTGAGGCAGTTTTGGTGGCCTTCCTTGAAGAAAGACATTGAAAGCTATGTGGCCAGCTGTCCACTTTGCACTGTGGCAAAGAGACCTCTGGAGAAACCCACCGGGCTTTTACAGACTGTGGCTAACTCCCAGGCCCCGTGGAAAGAAATATCTATGGTCTTTATTGTGGAATTACCTGAAAGTGGGGGGGGGGACACTGTGATTTCGGTTGTTATGGATCTTTTTTCAAAACAGGTGCACTTTGTTCCCTGTCTCAAAATTCCCTCCGCAAAAATGTTAGCTAAACTCTTTGTACAACATGTGTATAGGTAGCCTGGTGAGCCTGAGCGCATTATTTATGATAGAGGAGTGCAATTTACATTGCAATTTTGATGGGAATTCTTGAAGGTGTTGGGAACTGCCCAGGGCTTAAGCTCCTCCCATCACCCCCAAACTAATGGAGCTTGTAAGAGAACTAACACAGACCTGGAACAGTACCTCAGGTGCTACATTAATTACCAACAGGATAATTGGGCTAACCTTTTGCCTTTTCAAGAGGTAGCATTTAACAATTCTGTGCATAGAACTTCCAGTTGTACTTCCAGCGCCTTTGGAAGCCTGGACTGCGAGCTCTGTGGCCGCTCCGACCTCTCCTTATCAGAGGATCCAAATCAGGACCATAGCCACCCTGGAGGGGTGGTGAAGTAAAGGGGGACCGCCTAGCAGGTAGAGGGGAGCTGCATCTCCCTTCCCTGACTAGGAAAGTCCCCTTAGCTGACGACGAGGAGCAGCAGCAGCAAATATGGCTGTCATGAAGCTGAAGACAGCCTGAATACACAAGATTGTACAGGAGCAGAGAAAGTGAGTGGTGTGTGATCTGGGTAAAAGAATATTTTCCATTGAAAAATGACCCCAATAAATTCAAGGGGGAAGCATTTTTGAACTATTTGCTAGCAGCGAAATAAGCACATTAAAAAAAATAAACCCAGAATATCTAAGAAGAGAAACTTTTAAAAGAAAATTAAGGGGAAAAAAATTGAACTCTCAAAGTGAAGACGTGGGATTGAAAAAATATTTTAAAAATAGTAGAATTCGATCTGGAGCTTGTTTTTCATTATTATTAATTTTGCACACTTATTGGATTTATAATTTAAAACAATTAAAATCAGACTATCAGCATTACACAGAGAGCCAGCAGCAAGTTGAAGTTTAAGCACCATCTGTTGCTAAAAGGAGAACTGTCCAACTTTGGGATCTTCCATATCTGCTGGATTTTTAAATTATTGGAGACTTATACAATAAACAAAACCGTTAGCCAAGTTACCCCTGAATACTGCCGAGCAAATAAAAGTAACTGGAAGAGGCATAGATAACCCCCTGGTTCCTTTTCTTAAATTGGACTGACTGTAAAATTGAAGTAAGTGGAGATAATGAAATGGAGCAGATGTACCAAGACACTAAGGATTCCATAAAAGAACAATGCAAGGAGATGAAGGAAATATTTCAATGCATAGATCGTATAGATCAAATATTGGAAATTAGAATACAAGGAACAACCAGCAAAGACCAGGACAAAGAGGGAAGAGTGGAACTACTAGAAGGAGTGGAGGAGACAGCAGAATTGGGAAAACAACAAGAAGAAGAGAACAAGAAGATATCATTAAAATTGATACTGAAGGGATCAGAATAGAAGGAAAATATTTTAAAAGATGTGAAAAGGGGAGAAACAGGGAGACAGCTGGGGAGAAGGAAAAGGGGATGGAACAGATAGCTGTAAAACTAGATGATGGGGGAAAAGTGGCAAGGGGAGAGAAAGCTAGAGAGTATAATAGAGATTTAAGAGTAGATGAAATAAAAGATTTAAAAGAAGGGTATGGGAGACAAACCCCCCCCAAAAAAAGAAGACTAAAAATTTGGATGCAGATGAAAGATGTGGGATAAAGAAAAAGAAAAGAAATGTAAAGCAAAACATTTTATGAAAGTATTTTAATAATGTGTATGAATATTAGAACTATATAAGTTGGATAACTGCATTGTATGTAGTGTAAGAGATGAAAATTATTTTTGAATATATATCAGTAATGTAGTAATGTAATATATGTTAATATTAGAATGATATAGATTGGAAAATTATTTTGTAAATTAGATAAATAGGATTTCTAAATATGTATAAAAATGTGAGTAATAGTGAAAAACGAGAACTACATAATTTGAGAATAGATAAAGGCAGGATATAATTTAATGAAAACAAGTGTATTAATAGAATTACAAGGATTGGAAAAAATATTAAATATGTAAAAAATGATTAACACTACGTCTTTGATTACAAGAGTGATAGGTGAAGGGGAAAAAAAGAGGGCTAAAATAGAGGTAGACATTAGTGGGGAAGAATACTAGAAACAGATATTAAGATGATACAATGAATGGAAGAACTATGAGGAGGTTTAGAATTCAAGGAAGATAGTAGAAGTCATGTGTCAATATGTGTCAGTAAAATTAAAAATGAAAATGAAATGTAATTATTAGGAATAATATTGTTATGTTTATTTGTATTGAAATGTATGATATCCAGGTATCTAACCATTCACACAATGAGATGTATAAAAATAAAAAATAAAAACTTTAAATAAATTAAAAAAAACAATTTTGTGCATAGTAGCAATTCACCCCATTTAAGGTGGCCTCCGGGCAGGACTTCGTAGCTATGCCAGAGCTGCCTCAAGAGAAACCACATGTACCCTCCTTAGCGGAGTGGATAGCTCAATTGTAGAACACTTGGCCAGTTGCTTGTAAGGCACTGGAGGAGGCACATCAGACACATAAGAAACAAGCTGACAAAAAATGTGTGAAGCCAAAAGGTTTTCAAGTTGGTGACAGAGTTTACCTCTCCATGAAGTACTTACAGTCCACCCACTATCTAAGAAACTTGGTCCTAAATACGTGGGCCCATTCCCAATCGTTAAAGTAATTAATCCAGTCACTGTGCAACTGGAGTTGCCCAAGAACCTAAAGCATATTCACCCTGTATTTTATTGCAGTTTGTTGAAACCTGAAACTGTATCACCCCTTCGCCCTACACCTGACACTCCTCCTGTACCCACTCTGATTGAAGGGGAGTAACATTTTGAAGTTAAAGAAATTCTAGATTCCAGAAAACATAGAGGGAATTTCTTGGAAACATTTTCTCCCTGCGCAGTCCAAATGGGTAGATGCTAAACATGTTCATGTGCCTAAACTCCTCCACACTTTCCATAGAAAATACTCTGACAAACCCTAAAGGGATCACTGGTTTTGGAGTAATGTATTATATGTTGTAACTGTATAAATTTGCTAATGCCTCTTTTACAGGGGTGGGGGTGGGGGGTGGCAAATGTCAGCTAGCTGGATACTTGCTGCAATAAAATGGGGGTGGGGGAAGAACTGTATTGCAGCTTTGCAACTGTAGTTATTTTCAAGGCCATGTCAGTTTGCTCTGGTATGCAGTGGCATCCAGTTGCCTAGCTACAAGGGGGCTGGACTGCATACTGTACAAAGGCTGTATACTGTACAAGGGCTGGCTGTATACTGTATCTGTATCTGTGCTGATCCAGCTTTGTGCCTCAGAGCTTGCTTGAAACCATTTGAATTCCGTTTGTTCCTAGTAAAAGTACTTTTCTCTAAATCTATGGAGCCAAGAATTTTTCTTTCCTAGGAACTGAACAGAGGCAGCCTTGACACATTGTACTTTTGCCAATAGATGTCCTCTTTATTCAGGTAAATGGGGAAACTCATTCACATACTTTTCAACAGATGAAAAAAGTCATCCTTTGTGAATGGAAATAAAACCTACATGTAAATAAGGAAATGCAATTATCAAGGACCACAGTCAGAATCAAGCTGATGACTTGCTCCCTAATGTTTCTATGGGAGTTTTTGAAGAAATACTTTCCCCCCTCAATGACCATATTACTTGGGTGAAGACTAGTGCTGCAACCACCTCCTGAAATCTTTCACTTTCCTTTCCAAGCATTGGTACAATTTTCTGCAGCAGTAGGTCAGTTCTTCCCCTACTTTATTTTTTCTTCATTTTTACCTAATATTTTTAATCTAGATATGCCCAGAAGGAAATTGTAGAAGAAATACAGCCAAGCAATTTAGTATATTATAGTTTACCAAAACACGTAAAACATTTTTGTTAGGGTTTTTTTTTTATTTATTTATTTATATGCCGCCCTTCTCCGGAGACTCAGGGCAGCTTACAGTGCGATAGTTTCTTCATTGCTTCTTCTCTTATTGTTCACATTGAATAAACTAATGCAGCTCTGTTTACTTTTGAGTTCAGTGATGAAATGAAAGCAGAGATGCTAAAAACATTTTCATCTTCAGATGAACAATTTAACTATTTAGTCCAACAGATAGGGACAGTTTAACAAAAGCCACTTTTAGATGCGATTAGCAGAAGAAAGAAGACTGCAGGAAAATTGCATGCAACAATAAATTGAAACTTTGGCAGAGATTGAAAGTTCCCAAATGTGAAGTCTTTGTAATAAATTCTAAATGTAAAAATATAGATATTTATGACTTGTAGCTAAGTAAATATAATGTTGCTTCTAACAAATAGGATGTAGCTTATAACCAATTAAAGTGCAGCAAAGATCAAATTCCTTCTAATCCATTGCCATTACTTTTTCTGTAAAATGTGTATACAAATGTATATGTCTCATTATAAAAATTTATATATCTATGTTTAAGCAAACACAGATGCACACACAAAACTCGAGGGATCAATGGATTATATTGATTAAACCTTCCCTGAGATTAATCTATTAAACAATCATGAACTGGCATACATAGAGCAACTGATCTCTGCACCTCTTGTCAAACCACTTTCCCACAGCCACTGCAGACAATACTACACAGTTTTCTTGCTTCCCTCCATCAGGTTGGGTGGTGATCTCTGTTTCCCAATTGTTATAGCTAATGCTGCTGCTTGTCATGTCCACCCATTTGCCCTCCACTGCCAGGTCATTGATGCCAAGCCAAATTTCCACCTCATTCCCCAGGGTCTTCCTCACATAGTCATAGAGAGCATCATTTTCATCACCTGTCTGTGGTGTACTGAGGGTGCCACCCTGGGAAATGCAATCTTCATTGGCCTCATGATAGGTCTTAGCATGGGAAAAAGCCAGGACACATTTTAGGTTGATCTTTGTGCCTTTCAGACAAACTAATAAAAAATAAGAAAAAAAGGGAGAAACAAAGTATTATCGAAAAAGGAATGCCATATATGAGGACTTTTAACCTATCTTTTTATAAACTTATATAAATATTCCTGCCGCCTATTTTCCCCACAACTGATAACAGAACGTGTTAAGCTGTCTTCATGCTGCTGGGTCAAGAAGCAAATACTGAAGAACTTTTCCATAATGAAAAATGGCATACCTACAGTTTTTTTCAGGGAAAGTCTGAAACACAATCATTAGCAAACATTCAGTGTATAATTGCAAGCAGTAATTTTCTTGCAAGGAGTTTAAAGTACCTGGCACAGGAAGAGGTACAGATGAAATGTTTAGCAACCCAGATAGTTGGTCATGTAATGTTTGTCATTTTATGTTTCACAAGAACACTATCCCTCTCCCTGCCAACTAGATGGTGATAGTATACGTCCAGTAGAGAGGTGCTTTAGATAGCTGTGCTGCATCTCTCTCCTGAGCCATTTATGCAGATGATCACTCAATTTTTTTTCTGTCTTTCGACTCAGCAGACCTTTGGTTCATGTTTCTCTCTTTTTCCATTGCTTTGAATAACTAATTACTGCAATGTGAATAAAGTCTCAGCAACTTCTGCTTTTGGCCCCAAGTCACTTGCTTATTTAAGCATTTATGACTGACAATTAAGTGATTTGTGGCCTTTAACTGAGACCAGGGAACAATCTAAGTAAAAAAGGGCAGTTCTGAAAACCAAGTTCTGAATCCATATCAACATATTGTAGATTTCCTAGAAATTTCACACACCATTCATGTTGCACAAGCAATGGGGTTGTAGTGACAGAGGGAAAAGGAATGATTATGTATTGTATGTGTATGGTAAGATAGGGAGTGTACCTGAAATTTGCTTGTTTTTGATATAATTTTTTTGCTCTGAGTATTTTCATCTGGTCTGAGCTCATTTATTATCATCTTTAACTTTTGGGGAAGAAAAAGTTATAGTAATTTCATGTTTGTTACTATGACCCCTCTTTTTGTTTCACTCAGTTTCTTTGCCAATTATTTGTCTCTGAACTTCCTAGTTTATTTTATGTGAAATGGGTGTTGAAGTTGAAAACTATGAGTTAAAGAATGTTTCAACGTTTTGGAACCCACAAACTATCTCTGATTTATGCTGAATTTTTGAACAAACACTTATAGGTTTTTTTCTCTAATTAGCCCCAAACAATGTAACAGCCATTTTCAGAAAATATCCATGAATCCACTCAAATATGCCCACTAGTCCAAAAATTTGGGACCTCCTGTAATTAAATTTGCTGTTTTTTAAAAATGTGTTCCACAACCAAGTCTATTTTGTGGTCTAAAAAAGTTATAACGGATGGATTTTATACCTGTTTGAAGTGCTTGCTTTTCCTTTAGTAAGGCCACCTCTTGGGAAAGATTCTCTAGTTGCTCTTTAAAGTCTTCAATCATTCTGAGGCTTACAGCATCTATTAAGTCAGTAACAAGATAAAGGATAACATTTGTTTGCAACTAATAACTGCACATTCAAACTGATGAACAGAATGAGAACTTTCTCCTCTATTGATGATGTAACCTCAAGTGAAAAGAAATAAATTATGTGTACTTGTCCTAAATTTGTATACTCATATATGTTTTATAAAGTTATCATCTGAAAGTATTCCATACTTCAGAAACAAAAACAAAATATCTCCCTCTTTTTACTGCAGTTTTTTAAAAGAATGAATTAATAAAACAGCAATCCTAGTTTTCCTTGTATATGTTGTCTACTCTTTCTTATGTGCCCGCCAGGCTTCCGTGCATTCCATCAGCTGAGGGCTCAGGGTAGGGGTGGGTGGTGGGTGGCAGCTATTATTAAGGAAAGTCTCTGTCCAGGGGAGGCCACTATACCTCAGATAGCCGGATGTGAGTCCCTCTTTGTGAAGTGGGGTTGTGGGTGCAGATGGGCTTGCTGATTGCATAGCTGGCTCCCTGCCATGTAGCAGTGGCCCTGCCTGAGCTGCTCAATGTAGTAGCCGGGGTGGTGGTGGATACCTGTCATGGGGGATTTCAACCTGCCATCTGTCAGTGAAACGTCAGAGGTGGCTCGGGAGTTCATGGCCTCCATAATGGCCATGGACCTGACCCAGTTAATTCAAGGCCCCACTCACACGGGGGGACACACTCTGGATCTGATTTTTGTCTCTGGTCAGTGGCTGAATGATCTAGAAATAGGGGATATAGACCTCAAGCCCTTGTCATGGTCAGATCATTCACTCCTTCGACTAGACTTTCGAGCTGCTACCCTCTGTCGCAGGGAGACGGAACTGACCAGGTGGTTCCGTACCAGGCGCCTGATGGATCCGGATAGGTTCCTGACAGAGCTTGGGCCATTCCCTGAGGCTCTGGCTCACGACTCCATTGAAGAACTGGTGGCCGCCTGGGATAGGGCGGCCGCTGGAGCTTTGGACCGCGTTGTGCCTTTGCGGCCTCTGACCCGGTGTCGATCTCAATTGGCTCCCTGGTTTTCCGAGGAGCTGAGGGAGATGAAGCGCCGGAAAAGATGCCTGGGGAGCGACTGGAGGGCCAGCTGCTCCGAATCTGACCGAACACTGGTGAGGTCTCATATTAAGATCTACCTAGTGGCGATAAGAGTGGCAAAGTTTAATCATTTTTCTGCTCTTATTGCTTCTGCAGAGAACTGCCCAGCCGCTCCCTTCTTCATTTGGGAGTGAGGGAAGACCCCTTGCAGGGTAGGGCTGAGGATTTTGTGCAATTCCTGCATGACAAAGTCACTCAGATTTGGGAAGGCCTGGACTCTGATTGGGTAGATTCAGATGGGGTGACAGAGCTGGGTCTTGAGAGTGTTATCTGGGAGGGGTTTGACCTTGTGACTCCCGAGGACATGGACAGGATTCTGGGTAGGTTTAGTGCTGCCACATGTTTATTGGACCCGTGTCCCTCCTGGTTGGTGCTGGCCTCCCGGGCGGTCACACGAGGCTGGCTTCTTTAAGTGAGGGTTTCTTCCCTCCCTCCCTGAAAGAGGCGGTGATGAGGCCCCTCCTCAAGAAGCCTTCCCTGGACCCGGCAGTATTAGTGAACTATTGTCCAGTCTCCAACCTTTGCTTTGTTGCGAAGGTTGTTGAGAGTGTGGTAGCGCGACAACTTTCCCAGTATCTGGATGAAGCTGTCTATCTGGATCCATTCCAGTCAGGCTTATGATCTCTGGAGGGCTCGGGACAGGAGCTGTTCCTCTGTCCTGGTCCTATTAGATCTCTCAGCGGCTTTTGATACCATCGACCATGGTATCATGCTGCACCTATTAGAGAGGTTGGGAGTGGGGGCATTGTGCTGCGGTGGTTCTCCTCCTTCCTCTCTGACCATTCGCAGTTTGTGTTGGCAGGGGGACAGAGGTTGACCTTGAGGTGCCTTGTTTGTGGGGTGCCGCAAGGGTCGGTCCTCTCGCCCCTTCTGTTCAACATTTATGTGAAGCCACTGGGTGAGATCATCCGTGGTTTTGGGGTGAAGTTCCATCAGTACGCTGATGATACTCAGCTGTACATTTCCACCCCAGACACCCCAATGATACCCTTGATGTGATGTCCCGGTGCCTGGAGGCCGTGCGGATCTGGATGGGGAGAAACAAACTCAGACTCAACCCTTCCAAGACCGAGTGGCTGTGGTTTCCGGCATCCCGGTATAGCCAGCTGGCTCCATCGCTGACTATTGGGGGCAAGATCTTGGCCCCCTCAGAGAGGGCTCGCAACTTGGGTGTTCTCCTAGATGCACAGCTGTCTTTATAAGATCATCTGATGGCTGTGGCTAGGGGAGCTTTTTATCAGGTTCACCTGATCCACCAGTTGCATCTCTTTCTGTACCGGGATGCCTTGCGCACGTTCACTCATGCCCTCGTCATGTCCCGTCTGGACTACTGTAACACTCTCTACATGGGGCTCCCCTTAAAGAGCACTCAGAGGCTCCAACTGGTCCAGAATGCGGCCGTGTGGGTGATTATGGGGGCAACTCGGCGCACCCATGTAACACCTCTCCTGCACGAGCTGCACTGGCTCCCAGTGGTCTTCCGGGTGCAATTCAAGGTGTTGGTTACCACCTTTAAAGCGCTCCATGGCTTAGGACCTGGGTATGTACGAGATCGCCTTCTGCCATCGATAACTTCCCACCAGCCAATACGCTCCCACAGAGAGGGACTCCTCAGGGTGCCGTCGGCCAAACAATGTCAACTGGCGACACCCAGGGGGAGACCCTTCTCTGTGGGGACACCTGCCCTCTGGAATGAACTGCCCCCGGAGATTTGCATGATCCCCGACCTACATACCTTTCGCCGTGACCTTAAGACTCTTTTGTTTCAACAGGCTGGGCTGGCTTAGAAAATGATTTTAATTGGGTGTTTGTTGATTTTAATATAAGGGCCAAATTTTTAATATATTTTAAACTGTTTTTTACATCTTGTGGGTATATGTTGTTTTAATATGGCTGTACACCGCCCTGAATCCTTCGGGGGAAGGGCGGTATAAAAATTTAATAAATAAATAAATAAAATTATAACTTTATTTTATCAAAATAACATATATTTCTCATATGACCATTCCCATTTGGTTTTAATGGTATATTATACACCATATACAATTATGTGATTTTCTTCCCTCCATTTATGGCACTGTATAACTCTGCAGATTGTAAAACTTAAGATTCTTGTGTAAATCAAACCTTATTTACATGTACTTTATTTCTGGTTGCCACAAGTTTTAAATCATAATGTAACTCTCTTGGGTTTCAAATTACATCTAATCTACTGATGCACAACAGCTAAAGTGGGGCTTACTGTTACGTAACTCACAATCTCACAATGAAGGAGAAGTTAGTACTCTCTAATTAACTAGACCTTCAGGAAACTTCAGCTTCTAATTAACCTTTGGATACTGTAAACAGAATGAAAATATAGTAACTTAATTCTTTCTGATGGAAGATCAACAACTATATATATAAGGTTGCCTACCACAGTGATCTGGAATTTTCCTAGGCATCATCCTTCATTATGGGATTGTAGAAAAGTGACTTTGGAAAGAGAATATATGTCAGGGTTCCAAATAAGACCCCCAACAAAAGAAGACTCTGATGCTAGAAGTTCCTCAAAGTTCCATTTTATTAGAGATCTCATATTGGCACATCTGGGAAAACCTGAATCTGAAAGCTTCCAGGTTTTCCCCACCCAAAAGAAAGTCCAAGTCCCTTTCCCTGCACCCACATGTCCATCACATGGTGCAATCAATGCACTGTCCCAACTAGAGATGCTTCCCAATCACACCAGATTGCACCTGCATCTGGTGCAGGCTGAATGTCCTTGACTTTCAGAGAAAGGAATGTTATTATGGCTAGATATCTCCACCACTCCATGCAACCCCCTCTCCCAGTTTCCCACAGTATTAAATGTGGCAGCCCTGAAGATTCAAAGAAAAAGATGGCCTCCAGGGCTGACAGGCCACCCCCCTCAACCGATGATCATGTCCTGCAATGAGAGGAACATAGGGGTTTAATGCAATATTTCCATACCACCTCTTCTCCCCTCACGCCAGGAGGACTCTTTGGCTTATCCGGGAATTTATCATGGAATTGTTTTACTAATCAATCTGCTTTTAACACAAGTAGCTTCAGACAAAGGGTACCCTTTCCAATGAACTAAATACTGTAATTGACCTCTATACAATCTAGAGTCTAGGATTTTCTTAACTTCATAATGAGTCTCCCCTTGCACCACTATAGGTTTAGGCGATGATCGGGTCTGTGGCCTTAATCTCGACCCGATCACTGACTTTAGCAAACTGCAATGAAAGACAGGATGCACTTTCCCTAGTATGCATGGGAGATTAAGCTGAACTGTTACTGGGTTAATTACTTTCACTATTGGGAAAGGTCCTAAAAACTTGAGTCCCAGCTTTTTACTGGGCAACTGCAATTTTATGTATTTGGTTGATAGATAAACATGATCTCCCACACAGAAGAGGGCTGGAGAGATAGGTGTGTCCGCTTGCTTTTTATATGCTTCAGCGGCTTCTGCCAGCACTTTTTTCATGTTTTCCCACTCCTTCTTTAGCGACTCCATCCACTCGGTTAGTCATGGAGGAAGGTGGTTCTCTGGGCAGTTCGGGCATGGGGACAAAGTCCATGCTGCTGGTGACCTGAAAGGGGGTCAATTCAGTGCTGGTATGTACAGCGTTGTAAGCCACATCTGCGAACGGCAGCAGTTCTGCCCAGTTCTCTTTTTGGTAATCCACATAACATCTTATATATTGCTCCACCATTGCGTTCGCTCATTCCTCGGCTCTGTTTGTATTCAGATGGAAAGCTGAGCTAAGTCCCTGAGTGGACCCAACTGATTTCAGGAACTCTCTCCAGAACTTAGCGATGAATTGGACGCTCAATCTGAAATTACCCGACGGGTACTCCGTGCAGCCGGTAAATCTGTTTGATA